TTTTTATCAATGTGGTCATAATTTTTCTTCCCAGGTCCGATACTTTTGCCTGTGCTTTTGCTACGATAAATGTTTCTTTAAATATTGTGTACTTTACATGTGATATTTATAGCTGTGAACTTCCAAAAACTGTTTCTATTTATAGTCAAAATGGGTTTCTGGTTTGAATCACTCATACAGGTCACCTCGGAGATAGGAAAATATTTTTTCTCGTGTTTATATTGGATTGTTTTTTTATTAACAAATTGGACTAACGTGTTGCTCTTTAGTTATAAGGGAAACCTCACCCATGAAAAACAGGAATTTTCTGAACAATATATTATTCTGCAAAGACATCTACTTAAACTTATTTCTCTATGTCTACAAATGTTAAACTATCCTGAAAATGGGTTAACGGATTATGCACTAGTCCGAATAGCTCGTTAAAGGAAGGTAAGCTTAAATGACTCATCCTTCTTAAGGTCTAAACAGACGGTAGGATTTTAAAGTACAAGACTAATTAAAACTTAGATTTACAAGTAAATCTTAATGTGTGAATGCTACTTTTTCTCTTACAATTTAATACTAGATTTACAGGATAGGACATGTTCTATGTCTATTTCTGTACAATAGTAGTTGAACAGACCTCCCATGATCACAGGTGACAGATTTTCCAATTATCCCCGGCTAGTGTGTTTAATGAATGATATTCCAGAACTATTAGGGATAAAATGTAAAGTAGTAAGATGGAGTAAAAATGATGTTGAAAAACTCTTGGGGAACCCCAAAGTTGTGGCATGTTCGAATCCAAATTTTTTTAATGGAGTAGTTTCCATCATTACACATGCAGAAAACATAATTTTTCACTGTGAGACCAAAATTCTTAACTGGCTTTAGGGTGCACAGTTATGCAATTCATTCCAGAACATGGTAATTTCTTTAATGCTCCCATGCTATCCAGAGCCTTTCTCTTAATCAATCTTCTTGACTGGTCAATACCATCAATTATATAACATTTACATATATTTCAGTGATAATAGTGAATAAATTCTTTAAGAGATCCATTCAAGGAGATTTTTTTTGGAGGGAAACCTTGAGAATCATAGAATACAGACTTACGGTTGTATTTGTTTGAAAAGTGTACATCATATCTTTAATTAATGTTGTACAACTAAATCCTACCGTCTGTCAAGAACGACTAAAGCATTGGACTTGTGTAGCACTTTTCAGTAAAGTAATAATGATACAAGGAAATTATTGTTTAAAAAGGTAACACCTATTCGTTGGATTTGCTAGATCTTTTAGAAACTGTTTCTTTTATTTTTTATACCCGTTTAATGTCTTTGGTTATAAAATGCTGCAAATTTGGGCTTAAAGTATGACATTTGAATTGCATACATTTGCTATGCGTGTTATTAGTTTTACGGTTAGAATATGATTTAAGTTTTACTGTATTAATATTTTGTTTTTTGCTAAGCATTGTAGTATGCTGCTGTCAGTTATGAGAAGCCCCGCCTCGTATGTATAATGCATGCTCTGCCCCTATGATACTTGTAGTTAGTTCTTAAAATACACTTGTACAGTAAACATTAAAAAGCTAGAAACTATCCATCTGGTCTGTGTTATCAAATAACCCCCTTAAGGGTCTAGCTGGTTCTATTTAGAACACTACAAACATGAGTATCCCTTTTTGCTAATAGACTGAGCTTAAGTTACTTTACTAAATATTCTTACCGATTTGTCTTTTATTAAATTTCACAGCATTGAACTGTTTCACAAAGTTGTAAGCTGATTTTAATTTTAACAATTTTTATACGCCGGGACGTATTATGGGAACGCCCCTGGCGGGCGGGCGGGCGGCGTCCAATTTTGTCCGGAGCATATCTCCTACATGTATGGAGGGATTTTAATGAAACTTCATAGAAATGTTCACCACTATGAGGAGCAGTGTCGCGCACATGAACCAAGTCTCTAGGTCAAAGGTCAAGGTCACACTTAGAGTTCATTGAAAAATGCTTGTCCGGAGCAAAACTTCCACATGTATAGTGGGATTTCAATATTACTTGGCACAAATGTTCACCATTGTAAGGCGGAGTGTCGCGCGCAAGATTTAGGTCCTTGCGGCTAAGGTCAAGGTCACACATAGAGGTCAAAGTTCAGATAAAATATGAAGATGTGTATATGGATCATTTAGTCATCATTTATTGAGGGATTGTAACACAAATGGTCATTATCAAGACTATGGCTGTGATACATATAATTTAGGTCAATATATACAAGGTCAAGGTCACTAAAGATGATGAAATATCCAGATATTGTCCGGAGCATATCTCCTACACGCATGGAGGGATTTTAATGAAACTTCATAGAATGTTCACTACTATAAGAAGCAGTGTCATGCGCATGAACCAGGTTTGTAGATCAAAGGTTAAACTCACATTTAATGGTCATTGAAAAAACGCTTGTCCGAACAAAACGTCTACATGCATAGAGGAAGTTCAATATAACTTGGCTCAAATATTAAACATTGTAAGGCGGAGTGTCGCGCAATATTTAGGTCCCTGTGGCCATGGTCAAGGTCACACATAAGGGTCAAATTTCAGATAAAAAATATGAAAACATGTATTCGGACCATTTAGTCATCATTTATTGAGGGATTGTAACACAAATGGTCATTATCATGACTACGGCTGTGACACATGTACTTTAGGTCAATATATGCAAGGTCAAGGTCACTAAAGATGGTGAAATATCCAGATTTTGTCTGGAGCATATCTCCTACATGTATGGAAGAATTTTTATAATACTTAATGGAAATGTTCACCACCATAATATGTATTGCTCCATGCATGCTCCAGGTCTCCAGGTCAAAGGTCAAGGTCACACTTAGAGCTCATTGAAAAACGCTTGTCTGGATCAAAACTTCTACATTCATAGGGGGATTTCAATATAACTTGGCACAAATGTTCACCATTGTTAGGCTGAGTGTCGCATGCAAAATTCAGATCCCTGCGACCAAAGTCAAGGTTACACAGAGGTCAAAGTTCAGATAAAAATTTGAAGATGTGTATAGGGACCATTTAGTCATCATTTATTGATGGATTGTAGCACAAATGGTAACTATCATGACTACAGGTGTGACACATTTAATTTAGGTTAATATTTGCAAGGTCAAGGTCACTGGAGATGATTAAATATCCAGAAGTTGTCGAGAGTATATTTTCTACATGCATGGAGGAATTTTAATGTTACTTTATAGAATTGTTCACCACCATGAGACGTAGTGCCCTGCACATGAACCAAGTCTCTAGGTCAAAGGTGAAGGTCACAGTTAGAGCTCATAGAAAAACTCTTGTCTGGAGCAAAACTTCTACATGCATAGAGGGATTTCAATATAATTTGGCACAAATGTTCATCATTGTGAGGCTGAGTGCCGTGCATAAAATTCAGGCCCCTGCGCTCAAAGTCAATGTCACACATCCTGTGCATATCTGCCCTACTGATTTGTTTTAAGGTTCATTTAACAACACAGTGCCAAGAATAAAAACTTGCTTGCTAGATAACACTTATCCATAATGCCCCCATCTCCATCTAAAGCTTTCGTAAACGGGCGTATTTTGTGACTATGGCACCCTTGTTATAGAAAATTTACATGTAAATATGGAAAGACAAAAATTTAGGCCTTAGGCTTAAATGGGACTCTGAATGATTTATCAGATGTAAACTTTATTTGACCGTTCGATATGTCGGCATCTGGTTTCCACATAAATTGTAGACCTTAAAAAAACTATGACCTGTTATATTAATCAATATATTCCATTTTCCATCTAAGTCTATATAAAACTTAAATATTTCTCACTTACCAGACAGAAAAATCCGAAAATGTTACTAAAATAGCGTTGTTTGGAAAATCTTATCTCACATGGGCTTATCTCACACTCAACGTGCAGCACTTCTAAAAACGTATTCCTACACATACGCGATTCACTCTATTTTTACAAAACTGAAACGTCAAATGATCAAAATGTATTAAAAATATGTGAGCTAATCTATTAGATTGTCCGCGGAATAAAAATAGATTGATATTAACTTTCACACTGCAACGAGTCCTACTCTACCTTGGTCCGCCCTTTTCATTATCGATATGTTACTAAAAATAGCACACTTTAAAATATCGCAAAATTCTTCGTAAAATCGGATATTAAGACACTTTGCCTGAAAAACATCCATGTTTTCTGTTATGATAACGATGCTTCTTGATGACGAATCTCATTTTGATATATTTTAATTGAATATTTGGCCAAAATAACCGAATAAGGAGAAAAATCTTTGCAAACGGTAAACGCTTTTTGTCAACCATAAAAGTATGGCTGAATTCCTTATAAACATTTATTTTATGACACTTTCCGACTTTAATATTGATGTGTTTTATCATGATAACCTTGCTTTTTAATGAGAGATCTCTTATGAATTTGTTTTCATTGAATTATTCACACATAAACTTGGTCAGTAGAATTTTTGCTGACGTACTCAGACGCCTAAGCCCCGCCCGCTTTTTTTTGATCGGTTCCATCGGAGCGAGCATTGGCGATCGATAGATTCTATTTTTCTCTCTGTACGCGTAAATCTATTTTTAGATATATTTGTCATGTGATATATTAAGCTATAAAATTCCCTTAGCTGTTTCTATTTATAATCAAACAAATCATGTCTGCTCCGTTAAGGCCCCAACAGACGGTAGGATGTAGTTGTACAACACTAATTAGAGTTATGATGTACAATTTTCATAGCAATTCAACATTTGCATTCAGACTGTTAATCTGCATTATAGGAATCATCAGCCAGGTTTCTTTCAAAAAAAAACAGTTCCCTCCCAGTTGATCCCTTACATAGTTTACTCACGAAAAATAATATTTTTCTCCATAGATAATGATTGAAACACCTCCATTTTGAATTTCTATAATTGTCACTTAGCGAGATGAATGTGCAGCCTGACCGGGACTCGAACCTGGGACCCTTCCCAGCAAACACATGACGTTGTTTCAACGTTGCTCAGACGTTAGAGTCCGACGTTGGATAGACGTTGGAATTTAGTTGTATATGAAAGTTTTTTAGACGTCAGAGTCCGACGTCAATCCAACGTCATAAAATGACATAAATCCAACCTCTTTTCAACGTATATACAACTACTTTCCAACCTATTCCCAACGTGAATCCAACCAGTTTCCAACATGATTCCAACCAGTTACTTACGTAATACCAACTAGTTTCCAACGTAATTCCAACCAATTCCCAACATAAATCTGACCCGTTTTCATTAAATAATTCCCAAATAAAGAGAAAATACAAAACTTTCTATACTGGAAAAGTGATTTTATTATTTTAAGAAAGTGATCATAAAAACAATTAAACAAAATGTATATAACACAGTTTCTGATTTATCTATTCATGTAAAACTTAATATACAGTAAATATATATTTTCAACACATTTGTATAACATCACAAAAATGACTCACTTTTAATCATTTATAGTGATAATAAAATAAAGTTTGATATTTATAAATTGTATATAAACTTTTAAAATCAAAAAGAAATAAGAGTTACATGTATTTTCAAAATTGAAGTTCAACATTTATCAGACCTCTTTCAGTCAATACAATTATACACATTTTGTAATCCAAAATCATAACAAAACAGTCAACAAATTATTTTCATTTAAAGGTCTACAGTATACATTACCTATTACAATTTATGTCAATAAAAGTATTCATGTTTACAACATGCTTAAAAGGGTTTTCTTTTAAATAACTCATAGAAAATGGAAATCATGGAAAATAAAGCTTTCTTTTGCAGTTGATTTCATCGGTAACAAATCGAATAAGTGAAGGAAAATATTCCTTTCTGTCAAAATTAAGTGTAACATACAAAACAATAAATAAACGTTCACATTTAAAGCAAGTAAGTACTTTTTTATCTTTATTCTTTAAAAAAAAACTTTAAAGTATTAAATTTGGAGATATTTTCCTCCATGTGAATAATTCTGGTATACTAAACGTCCACCACTGGATCCTGATTATTTTCATCTACGAAGACACTGTGTCAAACTTGTTTTGATGTTCAACTTGTTTTATTTTTCCTTGAAACTGAAAAAAAGAAACAGAAATAAATAGGTGTACATAGGTGTACATTACCAAAATTGTCAATTAAATTATATTAAATAGAAATATTATTACCAATAGATTACCCTAGCATATCATAAATTAAAATCAGATGTCGATTGATGATGTAGAACACTCAAAAACTGTAACTTTAAATATATGTAATTTGCAAAACAGTAACATGTAAAGGTGCAAATTCAATCATAAGACATTTCACGTAATTATTTTACTTTTGATTAACAGTTAATTATGACAAAACAGAAATTACAGTAAATAACAAAATCAAAATCCATATATTACCTTAATTTGATGCACTTGGCATTCTTTTATGTCCAAATGGTGTTTTCTGTCGACTGTTGTTCATGTATACAATCTGATCAGCTAATTGTCATCACACAAAAATTAAGTGTCAGTCTATAAAAAACAAAACCAAATTATTATTGACAAAAAGTTATAAATTTACTTTGACAGTATACTTATGTATTGGTAGATCCCTACTTTGACCTTTTACAGGTAGATCTATTTGTATAACAATAGATTAAATCTCAAATATTGACAGGTGTTCCTTTGTTAACAAATACCTTGTGGTGAAATACCTAATGTTATCTAGTCTACTAATCTGATAAATCGAATTAGAGAGATTAAGGTCATGTAGGGATCTTGGCTTAAAATGACAACACAAATGAAACAAAAAGTTTGACAGAATTTCATACAATTTATACATCAATTGAATCCCAAAGTACGAGTTAAATGAGGGCGAATCAGACTACATTAATTTACTGGTTTAGAACTGAGATTAAAATATAATTATATTCCAAATGTAACTAATAATTTTTAGTAATTATACTATGCATACAGTAAGTTTAATATTTATCTACCTTAAAAAATATCACTTACTTTTCACTATGCGAGTTGTCTTCTATGATGAGCATATAATGTCCTTCCTTTGTCTTTGTTTGAATTTGAAAACAAATTGTTGTTGTAGCCTCGTTTTGAAATTCATCAAGTTTCCATTATTTTTTTTCAATTAATTTAATTGAAATACTAATATTGTTCCTTTTTATGGTCTAGTAAAACAACATTTTTTAAACAAAAATACAATGGATGTAAAAAAATGAATAACAAAATTCGAATAATTAATATATTGACCTGAAATTAGAGCCACCTATCGGGTTTATAAATCAGAACAAAGGGAAGTAACACAATCAAGACTACTATGTTGGATTACACTCAAATCCGACGTTGTATCAACGTAATTCCAACACGTTGATACGACGTCGCAAATACAACGTTGTGTCAACGTTGTATTTAGGATTTTGACGTCATGACATAAATCCAACTTAGATCCAACGTTGAAACAACGTCAGGTGTTTGCTGGGTTGGAATACCGTACTGCAGCTCTACTGACTGAGCTATTCGGCCGCCTACAAACTACCTCCCTTGATTAGAGTACAGTTCAATACCGTGACATAATCACTTTCTGTAAAATTTGGGATTCGGACATACCTCAACTATAGGTCTCCTGAAGAGCTTTTCAACATCATTTTACCCCATCTATTTCTTACTACTTTGTTTACCTTTTTAGCTCTAGTTGTTCTAGAGTTCATTCATTAAACACATTATCAGGAGATAATTGGGAAATATGTCCCCTGTCATTGTGGTAGGTCTGTACAACAAGTATTAAGAAAACATGTCCTGTCCTGTAAATCTAGTATGAATTCAAGAAATAGTTGATTTTACACATTTAGATTTGCTTGTACATCTTAGTTATAATTGGTGTTGTACTGCAAAATCCTACTGTCTGTTGAGGCCTTGACTCGTACAACAAAGCGAAAGGTAGTATATAGATGGTCAGTTAGATAAGAAAGGTAAAAGCTATTTTTAAAATACTTCTAGTGTAACTTTGTCAGACTCATTAGATTATTATTTAATTGCACCGTATGGTATAGAATAAGCGGACAAATATTGAAAGAGGTTAACTTCATTGTAGAGATTTGTCAAAATGTACTTTGTCGAGAAACTAAGTCTGAAATAGGAATAAAAGTTTCTTTTTTAAAGTCATCACTGGTTACATTAATCTTTAGAAAGAAAGATTATAATTCAGTAAAATATCGAAATTTAATTTAGTTAGGTATTCCAGTTTAAAATACTATTACATGAAATTACTTCATAATTAAATTTGATTATAGGCCAAAAATAAATTATAATGTCTGTTTACAAGAAGTAAATAAATAGCTTCAATGTAAGACTGTGTATATGGTATCAGAAGATGATTATAATAATTATGATCGCAGAGAATGGTTTTTATGTCCTTTTATATAAAATCAGTGTGTTTATATGAACCACAGGAACTTGAAATCGTCACTTTTAATGATAATATCCAGAATATACCTTCTATACAGTATAAATTTATACTGTATAGAGGGTATATTTTGGATATTATCATTAATACTGATAGAATTTCAAGTTCCTGTGTATGAACTCAGCTTAGGTAAATTTTTAATATACTAAGACCTATTATATTAATCATTATAATATTGCACGTTTGTAACGTCATTCTTCATTGGATAATAATGACGTTTATATTGTTTTATATGCTCGGGTGCTGTTGATTCATGAAGAAATCTTACTTTTTTCCTATAAAAATGATGCTTGCTGTATAATTATAAATTCGTTATAAAGATTGTTGATAGGTTATATGGCCGTATATTAACGGCTGTATGCAATATAACCCTCGCCGTTTATATAGGGCCATGTAACCAGTCAACGGTCTTTATAACTAATAATGTCTTCTCATTTTCATCCAAACCCATTAGTGCATGATCATTTTGTAAAAAAAAAATGCTGTTTTAATTGAAAAGTCTTCTGCTACAATTTCATATTGCAATGAAACAATAAAAAGGGCTGCAATACTGTTCAAACTTTGCATAAATGTTGACTGGACCGTAACCTTTGTAACGACCCACTCAGATGACGCCGAAAAAGTGACCACTTTTTCACAAAATTTCTTAAACGAACACAAGTGTTTTGGGTCTAAATAGGGCACTATTTTCTCTATTTGAGGCCTTATAAGGGGGAGGTGAAAAGGCATGAAAAGACGTTACGTTTATATGAAGTAATGGGTTAATAAATCTTATAAAGTGTTCGATAGTACAAGAAATTCTTTTGACTATATAAAGAAAAATGTATAGTGTAACATATAGCAGCTGTAAAATTCTCACAGCTATTTACAGTTAAAATAGAAGCAAAATGTAGCTGAGAGCATCAGTCCGGATATAATTAAAATGAGATTAGTAGACAGAAATTATCTTTAGAAAAAGTACAAGCTATGTTTATTGTTATTCTTGTTGCCTTCCTAAACTTATTCACTTACAAGTTCACTGTTACGTATAAAATACTTAAGTTGCAAAATCGGATAGATATCGAAAATGAAATAATTATTTTAGTTAGTGTAATTTGTCGAAAGATTAAGCCTGAAATAGTTAAAAAATTAATTCACTTCATCGATTATTTGTTATCCTCTGATACATGAAATAAGAAAAATCAGAGACATGGTTTTATCTATTCAATTTTAAAACTGTTTTCAGGAGAATGACTGCATTGATGTTATTTAATCTAAAGAAAGATAGAACCAATTTCTAAGATACGGAGGCTGGGCAGCATTGCCTGACTTGAAATTAAAATGTTCTCAGTTGGAAAACTAGCATGTAATTGTTTACTAAACGCTATTTTAGGTGTTTTTATATTTTTCTTTCTCAAATTTTCATGCATACAAACTATTATTTACACACAAAAAAGAACTCTGATCATTATTTACACCCAAAACAAACATACATCATTTATCAACCACTTTTACATAACATAACATATTCTTTATTTGGCATAAAATGACAATACACATTTATAGCCAATACAATTAACAATAATGTAATGGAAGAACATTATATATAATATAAAGACCTTAACGAATTTAAATGTTTTACAGAGAAAGTTTTTTTTGCTACAAAATTTGAATAAATTTAAGTTCCTGTTATCTGTTCTTGTAATGGAAGATATACATAATATAAAAAACCTTAACAAAGTTGAAATGTTTTACAGAAAAAGTTCTTGAATAAATTTAAGTTACTAACTGTTGTCAGTTCTTTATTTGGAAAATATAAAAAAATTGACAAGCGAATAAATTTAATATACTACATGTTACTGTTGTCAAAAGTACAAAAATTGAACAACAATGATTAAAATGAAATTTCTTTGTGAAAATGATGCATAAATGTGATAATTTCATCTTTTTGTTGAATAAAATTCATGTTGATTGTTAAATGTTATTCAAATTGTTATGTTTCAATGATCCCGATCGCTACTCCAGAATACATATAATAGTCATTAGCATTGGTCTCAAAATTAAGACCGACTCGATAATAAGACCATTATTACCAGGACCCCAAAGTGGTCTTAATAGCGAGACTTACTGTAACTGTTGTCAAAAATACAAAAAATTTGACAAAATATTAACTGTTGTCAGTTCTTTCTTTAAATGAAAAACACAAACATTTTGACAGGTAATTCAACATTTGCGTGTTTGTTGTAGACATTAGTTTTTCAAATTTATGAATTGATGGCCAGCGACAATAGTATTTGAGACGTAAACCATAAATTAAAGAGAGTAAAAATCCATGTCTTGCCATTACATGACCACGTGACTAAAATACAAAATATCTTTTCACGTATACGTCTTTAACACGAAACAAAACTAGACACCTGGCGAGCCCAAGCTCTAAACAACTTACAATCGAACAAAACAATAAAATCGCCACAAAAATGAAGAACACAAAATGAATATTTTTTACAACTGATAGATACAGTATAAACCACAAACATTCAACCAAAAATATTAACTTCACAAAATCTAATCTGCATCAGTAAACAACTTAAACTTAAGCACAAAATTTTCACAGATATCCTCACAAGCATCTTGACCAGACAAAATTAAAAACAACTAATTACAATCAAGGAACCCTGATCAATAGGATCATCACTATTAAATTCAACCAACTTTAACAAATCAACAAAAACCCCTTCTTATCAACAAATTCTCTTCTCTTCTCAAACAAATAGAAATAAATAAAAATAAAATAAATAAATAAATGCTAAACACTACCAGTGTGCCTTCCCTAAATTGATGTACATTTCTCCCAAAACGTTGATATTTGCTATTTGACATTTACATGTAGAAAACGTTTACACCACAGCAACATGTTTAACAATAAACTGTTCATTGAAATATGATAATTTTATATTACTTTTTCAAATAGATCTACTGAACTAAAAAAGATCCATACACGAAATTATACCATTTTTCTATAAAAATAAAGAAACAGCTAATTCTGTTTGTATAGAATATATTAATAATGTGTTTTCTTGTTACTTGTTCTCTTTACAGATGAAGAACAATTATCATATGCTGGTTTGCTTTGTGGTAGATATTTGTGCTGAGGTATTACGGAAATATTTTGTCAAACTAGCAAAAGCTGATGCAGGGAACACTTATACATCACTTGATGCATACCTGTCTCATAGAAGGCGGGATGTGATGCAATTATTCAATAACAAAAGGCTCAGGAGAGATCAGTATGATTTATTGTATCCTGGTAACGGCACCGCTGATGAAAGCAAATGGGACATCTCAATACTGGTAACATTGATAACAGAACTTTTTGCGCCACGCCTGCAGCCACTCGAAAATTTCGCGTTGAAAACTGAAATTTTAGGGATTCGGAAGGAGTTGCGGAATCAGCCAAATACTGGCAATATTTCAGATGATGACTTCGAGTATTATTGGGGACGATTGGACGTTTCTATTAGGCTTATAGCAAAGAATGCGCTTGATCCAAATGATGCAGCATCCCTACAAGGGAAAATAAATCGGGTAAAATGTAGTCATCTACCAAATCTCGGTGATTGTTTACGAATTTGGCATGATGAAACCCCTAAGCAGTTGTTGAACATGATGAATGAAGTGCAGGCAAATGCTGAAGAAAAAACTTCCATTCTCAGAGAAGTGACGGTCCAGAAACCAGGACCTTCAGGTAAGTTTCGGTAATCATACATCAATTTGAGGTTTTTATTGCTATGTATTTTTCATTTTTATACGATCATGTCATAGTATCAATTCTAATTTATCGCATTCAACACTTACATCTGATATGATAAGCTTAGTGAAAACATTTCAAAGTGATATCAGTCAATTTGTTTACATGAATCTCAAAACATTATATCTTTATTTTGATTGTTACTTATTTTCGACATTGTTCTTTAACATAACTGATTTTGTTACAGTTTTTGAAAATTGATACATTAAACTTCAGGGGACAAAAATAAAAGAATCAAAGTTGCTGATGATATTCTGGCAAGGCTTCAAGGTAAGTTATTAAAATCAAGTTTAGAATAGTAATATCTACATTCTTTTTCAAAGTTCAACGGAGAAATTTGTATTCGATTCTAATCTTATACACCAAAAACTAAATATATATATTCTAATCTAATCTAATCTGGTCTGATCTAATCTAATCTATCACATCAGAATTGTATAACAATATCTCTTTGATCAAATAAAATATATATATTTCAATTTGTAAGCGGGGTTTGAGTCAACGATGAAAGAACTATCAGACCCACCAAATGAAATACCAGATATTCGATCTAAACTAAAAGATTGCCATCATGTGGTTGTCACCGGACGCAACAATAGCCGTTACTTTGAGACCGCTCTTGCAGCAATAAAGGGGATGGACTATAATTACAAACGATGTGTAGAAATGCACACGTCGTCTGATTGGCGTCACATTGATCCTAAAGATGTAGACTTGGTTTTATGTAGAGATCCATTTGGAGGATTTTCTTACGATGAAAGCAAAGCTAAAGCCATGGATGATATATTTAAAAGCATGATGCATTCAACAAAGAGAAATAATGGCGATAAAGCCTTGGATATTGTCATAGTAACAGACCTGAATATATTGGAAGAGTGCAAAATGCATCATGACCATGAAATATTAGAAGAAGTGGTGAAGGTGTTTAATGATACAAGTACAAGTTTAGCACAACCGGCTGGTCTTTCAAGAGGTAAATTATACAATTATTGACTAGTGAAACATTGAATATTATGTGATATTCACCGACAGATGGCATATTGACCGAGGCCTACATATAACGTGTCGCCAGTCAGTAATTGTTTTATTATATGAATAGACAATTTTTTTTTAAAATACGCATTTTAAGGAAATACAAATCGCAACGTTTGCCTGTTTTCATTAAAGCACGAGGAAAAAAGAACAAAATGACGTCAGGTGCTTAATGACTACACGAACGCTGCGCAAAAAAAGTAATTCAAGTTTAAACACATAATTGCGGTACAACTAATACCTATAATTATAGTAAATTCTAACACGACCCGCATTTCTCCATTGAAGATAGAATAACCAAAAGTATGTGTTATTATGCAACAAAATCACGGTTTGACGTTCTATATGTAGACATGTGACGTAATCAATATACACGTGACGTAACCACTAAAATGGGACCCGCTGAAAATAAGTACGGAAACAAATCAGGCGCAATTTAAGTTAATATCAGGTACGGCAGCATTTATGTGTCGATGTCTTGTTAGAATCGAAATAATATATCCAAATCGGTGATTTAATCGCTTGATAACATCACTGTTTGGCGTTCGGATGCGTATCATTATATAATTCGGGCTACGCCCTCGTGATATAATTCCTCGCATCCGAACTCCATACAGTCAGTGATGCTATTGAGCGATAAAATATATATTATTTCTTAAGTAATTATATTTTAATCGAGAAATATGACTAAAACAAAATGCAACAATTGTTTTTAATGCACACGTATAATTAGGAAATAGATATCAATTCTGAGTGCATTGTTAGAGAATCATGCACGGTTTGAGTTCAAATGCGTAGTAATATAATCACGAAGGTCGATATGCCTGAGTGATTCATTACAAAACATTTGAACGAAAAACGTGCATTATTGTATAATTATGCATGAAGAATTGATATGTTTAGTGGTTAAATTTGTTGTTGTCTCAGAGTTTCCAATAGAAACGTTCTTTAAAGGCTGTTCCAGTGGGTTGAAAATCTACCGTGTGTAGAAACATTTTGAGAATAACGAATTTTGAAAATGTTTATAAAACTTTGTTTATTTTATTTCACTCTGTCATTTTCAAGCGAAATACAAATTATTAAAAGTGAAATAAATGTAAAATTTAATTTGTTTGCGACATTAAAATAACGTACTTGATTTGATTGTTTTGCACGTGCTTTTTGGCGCTACATTGTGACGTAACGTAAACAACTCTTTAAACGTCTGTACAGCGTGAACGACTGAATTAAAGATATTGGTGTTCAGATTCATTTTCTTTCATTCTAGATATCTTTCACAACAAAATTCGACAAAATTTCTTTTTTTATTTATCAGATTTTTCCAACAAAATGGCGCCCTCAATGTGAAAATACACAGGTAGATAATAAGAACGACGAGTGCATTGTTGTAGAATAATGCACGCTTCGGGCCTACTTTGTTTATATAGAAAAGTTTCCGATAGTGTTAGAATCAACGGTTTACGATGTATGGTCAATGAATATGAGTCTCAATCTATTTTTAGAGAAAATCCAATTCAGCCAGTGAATATGATGCTTCATCCAGTGAATTTGATTTCATAAATAGTTCTGTTAACTACTGTTTTGACCAATGACATTGCAGCTATTTTTAGATTATATAATAATTAAGAAATAATATCCGTCTTAGCGATGTTTATCGGCTATTTAACACCAATTTGGAGTTTTGATGTGTAGGAATTGACCACGAAGGCCGTAGAGATGAATGGTTAATGTTTGCGGCATTTTCTAGTTGAGTGGTTCCAATATTCCTACTTGAATAATGTTGAATCACTCTTAAGATATGTTGCCTGCTTTTTAAATTTGTCTTTTGACGTTTTATCAGTGATACGCAGGCTTCATAACCTCTGATCCCCTTTCAAAATTCCATTTTATTTAGTTCCGCCCATTGTTTTCTCGTTTAGGGCACACGCTTTTTATTACTTGGGGACCATACGCCGCTTTTCATGGAATGGCACTGAAGTGTCACATTGAAGGTTCCATGATAACCGCCGTATGAACACATCTGCGGATGTTTCTAAATTCAAAAATTTTTACTATTTCATGTTTTAATGTTGAATTCTGCTTAAGCCGGTGCTAGTGGGCGTGGACAGTAACTTGCACTTTCCAGTACCGTCCATGAACAGGCTCGATCAAACCGAGCCTGCAACATTTTCAAATTTGCCGTGTTAGGCTTTCTTTAGGGATTCTGTATTAATCTATTTTATGATCACATTCGTGTTTTTTGTGCCGTGTGGCGGCTGTAAAAAGTCTCCCAGTACATTTAATCAATGATGTTATATTTTCGATCCTTGAGGATCGTTCAGTACGACATTATTGTTGTGTTTGTTGTATTTTTAGTTGAAACTTTTCGGCATTTTCTAGTTGGATGGTTCCAATATTCCTACTTGAATAATGTTGAATCACCCTTAGGATATGTTGCCCGCTTTTTAAATTTGTCTTTTGACGTTTTATCTGTGATACGCAGGCTTCATAACCTCTGATCCCCTTTCAAAATTCCATTTTATTTAGTTCCGCCCATTGTTTTCTCGTTTAGGGCACACGCGTTTTATTACTTGGGGACCATACGCCGCTTTTCATGGAATGGCACGGAAGTGCAACATTGAAGGTTCCATGATAACCGCCGTATGAACACATCTGCGGATGTTTCTAAATTCAAAAATTTACTATTTCATGTTTAAATGTTGAATTCTGCTTAAGCCGGTGCTAGGGGGCGTGGATGGTAACTTGCACTTTCCAGTACCGTCCATGAACAGGCTCAATCAAACCGAGCCTGCAACTTTTTCAATTTTGCCGTGTTGGGCTTTCTTTAGGGATTCTGTATTTATCTATTTTAAATAGCCGATAAACACTACTCAGACCTATATTATTTCGATTCTAACAAGATAAAATAAATAAAGATCACGTATGTTATTTTTTTAAACGGAGATTACTTCCGGTGCCGATCTTCGAATAAAACGCTTTTCGATTTCGCACCCTACTGTTGCTGAAATATAAAAATTATTAGACAAAAGACTGATATGAAAAATTAGTAATTTTATCAAGTTTTCGACTATAAAAACTTACGTCTTAGATAGGATTGTATTGTGTTTACATCAATGTTTGATTTATCATTCATGTTTGTTTGAGATGACGGCATTATAGCGGCGCGTTTATGAATGAGTTGTATACTTAAGATGACTGACGTCATAAACAATTTGTCAAAATATTTATTAACTGATTATGGATCAAATATGTGGCATTTTGTATGTGAGATATTATTTCAGTATTATATGAAAAGAAAGCATTATAAGAACTAAAAATATCAATAAAAATGCTTTTTTATTGTTACTTTAAAAGGTTTTGTAAAGAATTGAGGGAGAAAACATCAAATCATAACAGCCGCATATACAAATAGTCCCTGATCACTGTTTATTGGCAGTTAACACCTCTTCTACTTTGTATATAGTGACAAAATCACAAGGAGTATTAGAATTTGTGTTATGGAATTTTTGGATAAAATGTAACATCAATGTACTTGTAAATAATTCCTGTCAGTATTTTATGTGAGAAATTATTATATTTTTGCTCATGTTTAATTTTCACAAGCTAGAACCTTTTAACATTTCAGAATATGGAGGTCAAAATCAATACGTACAACCGACTTTGGAGTTAGTATCCAGAAATTTGATAGGTAAGTTGCCTAGTTGTTTACTTAGACAGTTTCTTATGGAACGAGTCTAAATATTGAATCGTTATTGGTTGATGGGAGGGAGGCTGGCGTGCAGTAAAATCTGGAGCATAAATATGTTCTACATCCACGGGAAAATTTAGGTACAAATGTATAGAAATATCCAAATGTTCACAATCATTAGACGCAGCTTCAAGCGAATGAACCAGATCTATAATGTCACAGAGTAGAGATTAGGAAGAAAAACATATCTGTACAAAACTTCTACGAGTATCACAGAATTTTGAAATTATCTGACTCAAATGTTCAAAATTATTATGCTGAGTATTGCGCGCAAAATGTTGTTCTCTTATTCGTAATTATACCTTTGTAGTTTATGGGATCATTCTTCAAATTTTCAAAAATAATAATGAGAATTGATTGCCAAAAATTTCAATGTCAAAATTGGAGAGGTCAAGGTCACAAAAGATAATAAAATGTAAAATTTTTGTTGTACATAAGTCCAGATTTTGTTATAACTTGCTAAATAGTTTTGCGCGAATGTAGCTAGTCTCTTTGTTAAGGTTACACTTAGAAAAAGTGTATATGTAGGTTATTGAGACTTGATCTGAGGAATTATACCAAATATGTTCACAATCGTGATACTGAGAATGACAAGCATAATTCAGGTCGATGTAACCAAAGATGATGAAGTGAAAAGATTATGTCCGGAGTATATCTTTTTTTATGCATGAAGGGATCTCAGTATTTATAGTACTTGACATGAAGGAGTATCTCAGTCAAAGGTCGCATTTACAGGTCGCATGTAATCTGAAATTTCCCTCCTAACTTGTAGTAAATGTTCAACATTGTAAGGCATAATATTCAATTAAGATTCCTGAAGCCAAGGTCAAAGTCATATTCAGAGGTCGAAATACAGGCAGGTGACTATCGGCTATTTTTTCCATCTTGAATAAAGGTATTTAAAAAAACTGTTTACCATGATGAAACGCATTCATTATCTAACAATGTATTTTGGGACAATGGAACGATTGCTATTTTTTATTTTAAGTGATGACGGAGAATTTTTTGATGGAATATAAAATATCCAGCAATCAAGTGGATGACAGTGTTTTCAGGACAGCGAAAAAGAAGTTCAAACAACATAAAGCTATAGTCTTAACAGGACTTAAGCAATGTGGTAAAACTTCTGTAGCTGTTGCGTTGGCATCTGCTTATGAATCATCCGCATGTTTACTTCTCAGGAAACCTAACGATGTCAATTACATTGACTTTCCAAACATCAGCTTAGTTATAATTGAAGATTTTGCTGGAAAATATCGTTACGAAGAGAATGATGTGTACGAATGGTACAACATGTTTGACCACCTGTACAATGCCGTTATAGCAGGACAGATGAACGTGATAATAACGTGTGAAAAGGGTAAACTAGAAAAATGTATCAACGAAATTGGACGGCATGCAATTATTGATCACGTAGTGGATATACCTTTACAAACAGCTATCATAAAATCAGAGGTTACTGAACGTAAGTGAAGCTTATCGGGTAGTGTTATATCGTAACACTGTTGTATTGCTTTCAATACGTATTTTTTTCGTAAAAAATAATTAATGGTTCAGTTAAGATAAAGATCTAAAAATATACAGATTTAAATAATTGATGGGTATGTCGATTCTGTATGTGATGTATGCCATTATATATATTTTGACAATTTTCAGGTTTCTTGTATAATTCATGGTAATTTAATATTTTGTAAACATGTTTCTCTGGTATATAAAATGGTGTTAAATTGTTTGTACTAACAGTAATATTTTAGATTGCATGTATTTCTCTTTTTCTGTTCGACATAGGACTAGAATATGAGCATGTGTATGGACCGATGGACACTACCACTCAGTCTAAGGATTGCCCACCACCATTGTCAGTGGTTCCTTCTCACGTGCCAATCTTGCTGTCAAGTCATGACACGATTCCGGTTTCAACAGGGAATACTTCACTTCAAGGCACAGCAGGAACTGAAGGTTTGCCTAATTGAATTGTTTGTGTTATATGCCATTACATTTTGACCAGTGCCAGGTTTCTAGTAATTTATTATTTTTAAACAATCTTCTCTAGAATATACAATGACTTACGATGTTATACATTTCTCTTTTTCTTTTTAACACAGGACAAGAATATGGCCCTGTGTGGTAAAGATCGAAAAATATATAGATTAAAAATATTGACGGTTGTGTCAGTTCGAGTCGAAATAAAAAATGTTTGCGATGCATTCCATTATATTTTTGACAAGTGTCATTTTCTAGTATAGTTTAAAGTAATTCAATATTCTTTAAACAATCTTCTCTGGGATAATAAATTGTGTTGAATTGCTTGTATTGACAGTAAGATTTAAGGATTGAATGCATTTATCTTTTTCTGTTAAACTTAGGACTAGAAATGGACATCTGTCCGGACATTTAGTATTATAAACTACTTATCATTCTATGGTCACAGTACCAAATACCACACAGTCTAAGAACTACACACAATCATTGTCAGTGGTACCGTCACAAGGGCCAATCTTTCCTTAGGTTTCTACAGAAAATGTTTCATTAGCGCAAATGGAATATTTGTCCTACATAAATTATCATTTATATGAATAAAGCTACTATTCAAAACAGTAGTTATAATAACGAGCTACAATTACTCCTCGCAGAAGGCAGCGGAGCAGAAACAGCTGTATATAGCTTTGGCGATAATAATCTGGCTATTAGTAAAAATACATAATCGCAACAAGCAAACAAAGCTATTTTTTCACTTAAAACTTATTTATACCGACACGGACAACTACCAGTATTTAATTTAAAATATTTTTGACTAAAAAATAAAACCTATTTTGGCATATGGCTCAGAAAATTGGTCTTCTTATGAAGCTAAAGATATTGACTTAATACATTACAAGATATGTAAATATGCATTTAACTGAAACTGGTCAACTCCTGATAAGTATTTATAGGGAGAGTTTGGTCGTTTTTCACTGTATTGCAATAGAGTTCTTAAAACTATCTTTCTAACACTTGTTTCGGATTTTCATAATTCATTTTCATTAAAAACTGAATTAATTAGTTTGAATGGTGGCTATAACTTTGTCATTTTGGATGGACCTTCAAGTTAAACAAACAGACATTGACCTTCATTCAAAAATGACCTTGACATTGAAAGTAAAACATTGAAATTTTCGTCATATTTTTGCTGTAACTGGCTATACATTCATATTGAGACACAACATTCTATTAGAATTAGGTCTTCATGTGTATCAAACTCAAATTGACCGTAGTTCATTAATGACCTTGACCTTGAAAGTCCAATAATTGAATTGTCACTGATTTTTGCTTTAACTGACTTGGTAATAAATAAATAGATTATCATCATACTAAGATAAAACAACGTTTATGACAATACCTCCTTAAACTTTGAACTGACATTAGACCGTTACGTGACCGTGACCTTGACCGTCAAGGTCAAATTATTGAATTTTGGTTAATTTGTCATAATTGTGGTATTTATGTACGGATTGGATTCAAACGTGGACAAAACAACACTTGTGACCATACGGACGTGTTCAATATATAATATGGATTTGAACCTTTAAATGGCATTGGCCGTCAGATGATTGAATTTTGCTTGTATCATCTTTATATGAAAATCGTTCATACTTGGATAAAACAGTTGTGGCTAGACAGACCTATAAAAAATATAAAAGGAAAAAAATCATGTTTTTTTCTTTTTAAAATTTTGTTTAAACTGTTTATTTGTTTTATTTTAGAAAAGGTTGAGCGTTGTCCGGCTGTTGCTCTCCGCGTCTTTCTCCGTTAAGTCAGTACAGAGATAATTCCGCTTTTAACCCCATGTAAAATATATGAAATAGACAAAGTTCTATATCATATATTGTAATAGCCACATTTACTTTAGAGCTAGGAATTCGACCAAAAATAGGGGACAGGCCACGATTTATCTAAATTATATTGCATCCTTATAAACGCGAAAAAATAATGTAAAACATCGGAAACATACAGTGCAAAACAGAACGGTTTTTTTTCAAACTAATATTACATAGATGTCGGTCTTTACGATTCAACCTGTTAGGTCGGAAATCGAACGGATTTAACTTTATTTTATCTCACTGCAACATAAAAATTATCACAATTACATGTACATTTCTTGATATAAACAATAAATAGTCATTAAAAATTTTTTTTTAAAAAATGACAAGTATTAACTTTTATTATCTGTAAAACTTATAATGAAACTTGCCGCTTACATGTAGATTTGTAAACGCGATAACCAATGAAAACGCGGGTAATACATACAGAATCAATATATCGTATAAATGTTTTTAAATATTTAGCGAATATTTTTAACAAAAGAATATATTCTACCAGTATCACCGAAAAATTATCAGAATTGTCTGATCATAATAGAACCAATTGTTTATAAAATGATTCATTTTTAAATCACAATTGAAGCATTCAAAATGTATAGAAAAAGAAAAAAAGAAAGTAAGTAATAAAAACATAGTCCGAACATCCTTATACTTATTTAACCGGTTGTGTTATCATGAAAGTGACTATAGATTCACATTCGTTAGAAAATACAAATTAAACAAGTGCCATCAAAGTGCACAATTTTTCCACCATTTCTTTCGGTACAACAACATCCAATAAACTAGCGAATAGTTATATGTAGTAAAGACAGAACCTTTTTGTCAACAATAGTTTTATTGTCAGGACAGAACAGGGAAATAATTAGTTCAGAATGAAGAAGACTGAAAAAGATGTTTACTGTATTGCTAAATTAATGGTTAATTTCAATTCTAGACCGCATCCGCGGCGCGGGGGAGTGCGTGTACCTTGCACTTTTGCTTGCGTTAATGCAGTGGTTTTTAAGCTTGTTTTCGCGCCTTTTGTTAGTGCTTTCGAACCTTATGAGATAGAACTAAATGACATTTGTCAGTGAACGTGGACTGTCTATGTGAAATAGCTATTAAATTGTATGAAGTTCATTAAGTACATAAAGAAGAAACTCCAGACGAGAACAGTTAACCAGGAAACTGACGCTTCTTATTTTTACTTAATATTTTGGTAAGGATTAGTTTTGTTACAATTTCTTAATTATTTAACTAATTGAATGAAAATACAGATGTCTATTTCATTTACAATAAATGTAGAAGTCTTTAGTATTGGTTATGCATGGGTCCCTTGTAATCTCTATACCGGTGAGAAGCCCGAGCATATATATACTATACACACTATCAAACCGAGTCTGCAATTTTTATGTAATTTTATCCGAGGGATCACCTTTTCCAGATTTTTCAGTTTAACTATTAAGTCTGGAGCGGTATTTTATCGTCATACTGTTCCTGAACTACAGGACATTGATTACTGGTATACCACTATTCCCAAACCGATACATGTGCTTTTACTGCTATATACATGCAGCAGTGTATTGAAGACAAGAAAAAAATCAATTAATTTATTTCTCTGACTTGACATTCGTGTATATGAAGGTGCCGAATTAGACAAAATGTATTAGTCATATGTACTCTACTATGTCATTCATTATCGACAAGGAAAATATTGCTAGTGCAGTAACATACATCACAATTAATGTTCATTGGTGGTTACGTTTTATCCTCATTTGATTTCGGAATGATTCAGCATTTAAGTTAGTTCTTATCTTCTTGGACGAAATTATTTACCAAAATACTGCATTGTACTAAATACTAAGTATTGTTTCAGAGCCACCCTTTTTACAGTAAAAGTAGCAGAGAATTTGTGAGTGAGTAATGTAATATCAGTTTTTTCATAAACAGTACCAGAATTGCACGTCTGATCATCACCAGTCAAAATGGAAACATCGGATATAATTGCGCAAAGTCTTAGTATTCTGGCGAAGACTGTACCTCGACCAAACTTGTATCGAAGTTCCATTAATGTCATGTATGCAGAAATAGTTTAAAGATATATCATGTCTACTTATGCAAGACAACACGCAGCTTTATTTATTTGTATGACGCATTAAGCTTTGTTAGTCGTATTTTTTAAACAAGCTTGTTGAAAAATTGTCTATGGGTATAAAATTATTTTACTAACGTAGCAAAATATCTTAGGATATTTATTCTCAGTCAGCATTTTGCCTATATGATTAATATTATTACAAGTAGCAGTGTTTAATGTTTCTAAACAAAGTTGATATACATGTATTTATTATTATGAATAACTATTACTGCTGCAAAACTTTCGCAAAATTTTCATGTTTGTCTTTATTGCACAATCATAATCTGCTACTTAATTTCATTGTTTATAAAGCAATTGATTTTTTACTTGTCTAAATAGATTTTCAGGTGGGCTATTTAATATGCGATGTGCGAACAATAATTTCGTGGATAATAAATACACTGTTCTCATATCATATAAAGCAAAAATATCGACATGAATGAATTTTTGTTTAAGAATGATATAGAATGTAAGAATTTGATTTCTTATTCTAGTCTAGTTCTTGTGAGATTCGGGCGTTTTATGCTTAATAAATGATCTCATATTTGAGACGATTAATTTTAATTTTGGTCTAGAAGAAAAGCTTTCCGAAAATGTCCTGCTTATAATTTTGAAAGAAAAAAAGAAAAATGCCTAGTTATACTTGATTGACTAGGTGAATGGACACACCAGAAAAGAAATGATACAGATCGCTACGATTGATCTCGAACAAGAACATATAACATACGTATGTGTATTTAATGAATATTGAAATACACAAATCCTATATTTGTAACATACTTATGTGTATTTAATAAAAATTGAAAATATGAAAACAAAAAAAGACTTGACTATTTTATTTTAAGTATTTGAAAACGTTATAATAAAGATGTATTTTAAGTCACTTGACATCAATTAGACAAGGGTGATAACTATGTGTAATTGTTATTATAATTGGCGACGCCGGTGAGCGGCGTCGTCTCTTATGGAATGCTTTTTATTTTGGC